AGAAAGCGAGGAGAGAGCCGAAGGGGCACTATTCTTTTCTTTTTTTCACCCAGCCCACCCGGGGGGGGGAACGCGCGCCATAGCAACAAAACGGACCAAAACACGCCGAACCACACCCGCACACCTTCCGCAAACAAACGGGGAATGAAACGCACCCCACCTTCACACTCCCGCTGGGTAAATCATTTTCGTCTCCTGGGACTCCTGGACCCGAAAGTGCGCCCGATTCGCCTCGACGAGTTTCAGCACCCCGCCGAAGTGCCGGTTAGCCGCCTGCTGTACACCAATCGAGGCCCAAAGCAGCAGCTGCGACGCCTCCACGCCACCTGGCGGAACCAGCGATCTCACAGCTTGAACGGCCTCTTCGCGGGACATGAAATCATTCTCCGCGAATTCCGCTTCCAGGTCGAGCGTTTCCTCCGCCTCCTCGTCGTTTGGCTTCCTTTGCGGGGATGTTGGGGCGTCTCCTCCCTCCCCTCGCGGGTCGGTGCCAAACGCGCCCGCCGGACGCCTGCCTGTCCTCTTCACCTTCCGCGTCAAGAAGACACCAGGCGAAGTTTCCTTACACGCAAAAAGGTCGGGGAACAGCTGCAGAACCGTGACGAAACGCGGCGGCAGCACGGCCCGCATCGCCGGGCTGGCGCATTGCAAGAAAAAGGCGGCGGTGCACGGTTCATCTTCGGGCGCCACGTAATGAAAGACAACGGCCAAATCACGCGGTGTTTGATACGGGTTCTCCTCGCGAATCACCACACGCGTCGCCATGTCATCCGGTTTCGGCTCTGGCTCTCTCAAAGAAAGGGGGTCCGAGAGATCCAAACGGGCAATAAAATTCTCCCCGAGACGAAACACCTGCGGATGTCGTCGCAGCATCTGCATCATACCATCAAAGCCACCTACAATCGCCTTCTCCACTTCGGTCAAACGAACATAGACGTAGTGAGGCCGATCCCATGTCGAGCACATGCGGCCCATGAGTACGACGAGACCGCGCACATCTTCCGGGTATCTCTCGAAGTCCTCGGCAAATCCATCTTTCCACCGCGTACTGTCAGCGCCCGTGCGTTTCCGCAAGAGAGGAACGTCTGTGTACTTCAGCTGGAGCACTTCGAAGTTTTCGGGATGTCCTTTGGCGCACGCGACGAGCTCGCCACTTGTTAAATTCTTTTTAGTATAACGCTGCATGAGGAGCGAGGGCGGTACGAAATAACCCGGACACACACGCAAAACAAACTTCATTAGCGCAACTGTATGCTGTGATGATTCCACTGCAGTCACCAACTCACCTTCCGCGTTGACAGGGACCAAACTATTCGCCTCACCTCTTGCCATCTTTAACTGTAGCTGCTCGTGGGCCTCCTCCGGTGTAAGGCCGTAAATCTCCGGATGAAGAACAATACTGCGACGAATCTCTACTGTCCCCGTAACGCTGCGCAGCTCAAAGTAAAACGGTTGTCGACGAAACCACTGCAGTGTAGAAGCGATACGAATGTGTCTCTTTTTAATCGCTGCCGGTAGGTTCAAGTTGCCAAAGTTTCCCCAGTTAACAGGAACATACTTAAGAATCTCGTACACATCCTGCCGAGTTGGCACATTGGAGGCGGCACCCCAGCCACCGTACGCATTCAGCGCGTGTGCGACCATTGTCTGCGGCTGTGGCGATACAAATCGTGGCGGGTGTGTCTCTGCCGGGTTGCGAGTACATATATACTTCTCGTGTAGCACCCAAAATTCTTCCACACCACATGGAGATTTGAGCATGTCTAGAAACTCCACGTACCTGAGGGTGTTCGCAACGCCACGCAGCGCCGCATGCCTTGACGCCTCCCGCAGGAGCGACGAGTACGCCTCGTTGAGTGGCTTGTAGTTGGACTCCCCAGCGCCACGCAGGCCAAGCACATTGTCACGCAGAATGTGCAGCAGCTGCTCATTAGCCTCCGCCCGATCCCTCTGCACCTTCACCGATGTTTCCTCCTGTATCACCTCCGTCTTCTCCCTCACCACGTCGGATGCCTCGTCGGCGAGAAAACACTTTGCATCCGCAGCGAGCGCCACACGGCACACACCGTCAGCGTCTTCCACGAGATGCAGCAGCGCGGACTCTCGCACCCATTCCTCCACGCGTATGCCGCGCTGGAATATGTCATCGCGACTCAGCTTCGGGAGTTCTTCCACAAATGTCCTGAGCGTGACACCGCCATCATGAGGGTGGCGCCGCGCTATCAGCATCGCCGCCGCCCGCTCCGCGACGGGACGGGAGTTAAACACTTTGGTGAAGTCCTCCCCACCCATGGATCCCAACGTCCGATGCTCTGCAGAATAGGGTGGAGCCCCTTCTTGTTGATTCAATGACGACATTTCTCGCATAGATGTGAAGAGTGTTGTCCATCTCTTATTATTCTCAGTGTGTGATGATGATGCTGATAAAGGCGACAACGGTCGTTGTGGCGGTCCGCCGGGAATGAGTGGCGCCGCGAAGGGGGCAAGAGGAATGCGAAGGCAACGACGCATGAAGAGGCGTCACTTTCACCCCGACCACCCGGGGAAGCACAAGAAGATTGGAGAAAAGAGGAGGTCAAGATACAGACTGCATGTGTCATAGGGTGTAGCAGGGAAGGGGTGTGACAGCAGTCTCAGATCTTTTTTTTTTTCTCATCGTCCTCAGAGCATGAGAAACTGTTTCATCCACCAAGAAGAACGGACCCCATACATAAATATATGCGTGTGTGTATATATATGCCTCTCTGCATATTTACTTCTCGCCCTCCCTATTCGCCGCAATGCCTCCTTCCTGCCTTCCCCAATAAAGAGGAGTGTGCAGGATGTCATCGCCCACTTAATAAGACTCGACTCCCATTCAGCAAGAGCAAGCCCCTGAAAACTCATTCCGGTGTATTCTCTGTGATCAGTAATAATAAACCCGCACACGCATGCACACAGAAAAAAAAAAGAAAACAACTCTTGAGAAATAAGTACGAGTAGAAGCGAAAGTGTTCACCGCCACCGCCACCACCACCAGCAACAACAACATCGCAATGATATGGTCATATAATTCTCATGGTCATGATGCATTTCTCTTCCCTGGCCCCACTGCATCACTGCTGCTCTCCTCCTCCATTTGGGCCTGTGCCGCAGCTGTCTCTCGCATTATTTTTTCCCGAAGCTCCGCCTTCTCGTACTCCTCCGCCACATTACGTGGCTCCTCGTAAGTTTCGTACTGTTGGAGAATATCCCCCGGGCGAAACTGAAACTCCTCATGGAGTATTGCACCACATTCCAAACCTGTCTCAACACACGGCACGATTTCTTTAAAGCGGCGCAACTCCCTAATCTGCCCCTCATACACCACATCGCGTTGATCCTCTTCGCCCTCAGAGCCGCCGCTGTTTTTAGGGCTCCCCCCTATGGTCTTGCTCCTTGAAGCCTTCCGCAAGACACGGAATGTCAGATGTGAAGCCACAATGGTACCTTTAGTTACGCGTATTCCACCAGCGTTGCCATTTTTACCAGCCTGTGATGCACGAAATACCTGCAGGCACTCAGCTTCCGCAGTGATACGTACTTGAGTATTTTTTGGAAGCGCCTCTACCAGCGTTTCCTTTAACGCTTCTATTCCATGGTATAGCACGTTAAACCGTATCACCTTTACATGGTTAGGGACATCTAAAGTATTGGTGTCTTTGCTCTCTCCATACAACAGGATGCATCCCGGTTGTCCAGAGCTGCCAATGAGTGCAATATCATAGTCCTTTAGACCCCCCACCTCCGTCACCTTTATCTCCGTCGAAATGCCCTCCAACCGAGGAAGTTGGTACAGCATCTTCATGAGAGCCTGCAGCATACCAAATGTTGCAGCCTTACATGAAAGCACGAAGGCCTTGGTGCTGTACGCGCGCACCAGGTTGTTGTCCGGTTTGCGGGCATAAATCATGCCATGCTGCTCCTGGTTCAGTAGCTGCAGGTAGTCCTCTCGGTGGCCCTCCGTCTGGTAAACCTCCTTCATAAAGAGGTAGTACTTCTGTGCATGGGGCTCGCTACTGACTTGCATGAGTATGGAGCCCGGTTTGGGGTGCACGCGAAAGCCGTGCATAATCACAGGTGTTGACGGCCCAGCCTCCTGCATGGGATGCCCGTGCTCGTCGAAGAGCTTACGCACCACTGCGTACGTCATACCTGCAACGAGCACTTGCCCCGATCGCAGCGTTCCGCAGCGCACAATGCCTGCCACTTCATTAGTTGAGCTGGCGCCACGCGCCTCGATAACAGTAACTTCACACCTTGAGGGCTCTGGGGTGCTGATTTCGCACAACTCCGCCTGTAGTGCGACAGCCTCAAGGAGGTCTGGAATGCCTGTTCCATCGCGCGCGCACACCTTCACAAGCTGTGTGTCACCACCATCCTCCTCCAGCTCAACACCGCCATCACGCAGCTGTTGTTTAATGGCATCAACCTTTGGTTGTCGGTCAATCTTTGTACACGCTATCACGAGCGGAATGCCGGCATTGTGTGCGAGCTCAAGTACCTCCTTCGTCTGCGGCTGCACCCCATCAACAGCCGAAACGACAAGGATGATGAGATCATTAGCCGCCACTCCCACCTCTCGCATCGCCGTAAACGCCGCATGTCCAGGTGTGTCGATGAATGTCACAAAGTGACCATCGGGCGTCTTCACTTGGAACGCACCTACATTCTGTGTGATGCCGCCGGCCTCCTCAGAGGCAACGTTGGTTTTTCGCAAATAATCCAGAAGTGTTGTCTTCCCGTGATCGACATGACCCATGATTGACACAATCGGCGGGCGCGGGACATAGCGTATCTTCGCTGCTGTATGCTTAATATCATACTCGCGAATGAGCCCCGCACGGTGCAGGTTGTTCGCGGTGCTAAGTGGATCGCGTAAATTGCTCGCCGTGGTGAAGAACTCACGCAGCGGGTGATCTTCCAGCTGCTTGGCGGTGTCTGGCCCTGGCTTCGGTCTTGCCTTCTGTTGTGGGGACTTCTTCATCTTCTCCCGCCTGCGCATGAACTTGGCGCAGCGCGGGTCATCACTGCCCACCCACAGCGGTCCCGATCGCGTCGGGATGTACACCGCGTCCTTCGCAAACTCATGCCAGTCGTACACCTCGCCCAGGCCCATCTCCCGACGGTCGTTTTGAATCGTTGCCTTAACGTAGTGGGCCACTGTGTCTGGGTTGAACTTCCGCATGTTACCCTCTGACGAGTAGCGCGGATCAACCACGCCCTCCTGCCAATGAAACCCGGGCTGGCCACGGGAGCTCTGCGACTGCCACCGCATCGCTCCAACCACAGCAAAGGCAGCAGCAGCACCACCACTACGTCTACCGCAAATGTCCACCGCAGACGCCACGGGACGCTTCACACAGCCAGAGAACCGCCACATTTCCAACGAGATCGTCGTCTTACGCGCAGAATAATGCAGCCCACCGTGCACACCCTCCAAAATGATCTCTGACTGCAATAT